AAAGACACCTCACAATCAAATAGGCCTACAACTAAAGCAATATTTTAATAGAAATCACATTTATAAAACCATATGCCATATTCACTGAGTATACTACCATGGAAATTTCATGGGCAATCACTATATCCCGTATTCTAAAGTCACTCACCTGGAATCTACGGTAATGCACCCTCGAACAAAGATCAAAGTATGCACGTACGGTCGTCACCTAAAACAAATCTTAAGTCTTATTTTAGAAATTTTGTGATAAAAATGTAACTCTACGTGTACACGTCAATTATAATGTTCTTGAGTGATTTGGGACCCGTTGACCAAAAGTCAACCCTCGATCAAAAGTCAATGGTAAGGTCAACAACCCTATGCAATTCAATCTGGAAGATTCACGCCTCAAATTCCTGATCCGTAACTTTCTAAGGGTGTCTTTATGCTTCTAGAATAACATATGACAATTTCGTTACAATCCGCTAGTCGGATCTCCGCCACTTGCTAATTTAAGTGGCGTCAACTATGAAATACGTTAAAACGATATAATTTTGCTAAAAGGATGCCAAAAACGTATTCAACACATCGAAATACCCTGAGAGAGGTCTCGAGCCGAATCTTGAAAAAAGTCGACGGTCAACATTGATAGGGCTAAGTCGAGCTGAGTCGGAGCAAAGCTTGACCCAAGATAGAGCTAACCCGAGAAGCTGGAAAACCCATCGGAATCTGGGTAAACTCACCAGATTTATGGAAAAGTTTCTAAAGCTCACAACTTCTTCATTTGTCAACCAAATTCGACAATCCATATATGGAAATTCATCTACTTAACGAGAGTATTCAATTTATACATGTTTGAAGTCCAAAAGATGGTTGAAAACGGTTTGAAATTAACGAGAGAGCTCGATTTGCTATAAACTCATGGTTCGTCAGTTTTTCCTTTGCTTTTCACAATTCACGTTTCTAGGCAGAGGGAAGTAGAGTTGTGTTGATTTGGTGAGGTTTGTTCGCTGAAAAATTAAAAGATGGTGGTGTGTGGCTTTAGTGAAGGAGGAAGGAAGAAAGAGTTCGAGAAGTGACAAAGATGAGAGATACAAGAGAGAAAAGAGAGGAGAAAGTGTTCTAGATTTATGGGGAAGGGCCCCACTTGGCACACACCAAAAACAATCATATGTCCATTTAATTGTTAAATTACCAAAATACCCTCGGTGTTCTAAGACTCATAGGATCTTATTTTAACTTGAAATTATATTCCGCTTACGCCTATGCGTCATATCAACCCGTACATTCCAAATATGGCAAGAAATGTGGCAAAATATGCAAGGGTCAAATACGTCGAGATAAGAATCCATTTAGCCCAAGAGGGGCATGTTCATCATTTTACAAATTTTGAAAAAAATTCTGCACCGAATATGTAAATGCGTCGAAACACAATACAATATAGAAAGTGAAATCCAGGATTGGGATTTCACAAAAGGGTTTCACCAACGACCACCCTTGATATATATAATCCAACTAAGAATAGGGTAATATATAGCATAATATATGACTCATCATTAAGTTTCTTGCACCTCAAAATAAATATTTTACAAACCTTCCGTTCTTACATTGGACGGAGTTCATAAAGCTAAATGGAATACCAATAGCTGACATTAATTTATATTTCCTTCAATGACAATTTTTTCATTTTGTAGTGCAATGCGATGTTTCCACTTGTAAGACCAACTCCAAGGGGGAGACCCAAACAAAAATATTTGGGTTTAAACCCAAAAAATGCAATATTCAATGATGAGATCTAAACTTAAAATATTTGGCTTTGGATCCAAACTAAAACCCAAATTATCTATTTATACTATTAAGAGAACCCTCTTTGTCAACTTTTTCTCCTTTTTTTTCTTCCTATTTTGCCCTCACCTTTGATACACACTATTGAAAAAATGAGGGCAAAATAGTAATTTTGTGCCCTTTGACAAAATGACAATCATATCCCTATCTATTTCACCCTCCTTTTTTTTTTTGAGAAAATGACAATCATATACTTATTTTTTCAATTTTACCCTCACTTTTGATACACAATATTTACATAAGAAGGACAAAACAGTAATGATGTAATATTAAAAAAAAAATCACTTATTAAGAGAAATTGTTCATACACACAAAGTGTGTGCTTTCTGCTAGTATATACTAAAACATAATTGAGTTTTAGCACTGTCCAACAATAGTAAAAGGGCGGAACTGCCCCTGGGCCAATCTTTTGTTTTCCTTTGTCTGGTGTGCTTCTTACGCCGAAAAGAAGTTTTTGCCCGTTTTGTCTGCGTGTCCGCCATCCTTATTTTGTTGGTTTGCTTTCTTGATTTCTGCTCTACCCTTTTGGTCTTGCCCATTGTTTTTTCAAATCCTTGATTCTCTCCGATATTTTGTTCTTTGTTTCGCGGGAAGAGTTCCTGATTTTATGGATTTTCTTTGTGGTCTCTGCTTCGACGGCCGTTCTACATATACTTAAACCTGGGTTTTTTTTAGGAGACTGATAACAGTGGTTTCCAAGGTTTCCAAAGTTGCGATCCGGGCCAAGAATTCACAGTGTTAGTCTTTTCTTCCGTCTGAGATTTCTGGGTTGTGGCCGGATTTTTGGTCGATTTCCAACTCGTTTTGGTTGCGGCCTGTCATCAGATCGTTGCGGAACAGATGTTATTTAGCTATTGTGTATTTTATAATGGTTGTCCTTCAATTTTTATTTTGGATTTTTGCTAGTGTGGATAAAACCGTAATGATTTCATTTTGCTGTCAGTTGTGGTGCTCTGTTGGGCCTTTCCCAGCTAAAAGAGTATTTTGCATTTTGGTTGCTTAGTTAATAAATATGAGATTTTCTATCACCTGTGACGCAGCTCTTATATTTTGGGTAAGTTTTATGTGCTGCTTTTTTTTCCAATTTCGAAATGCATTGATAATTGTTTAAAATGGATTTATAATTTTTGGGAAGAAATGAGATGAGAGGATTCGTTGGAATTTTGGAAAGCTTTGTCTTTTTGTCTTACGAACAGGGAGAGGAAGAGAGAAAACATTAGTTTAGATTGCAATTTTTAAACTTTGTATGTTGTTAGTGCTGGAACCTGTCTGCTTTGTTGGGAAATTGATAATATGTAGAGTTATTAGAATTTTGGAAAGCTTTGTCTTCATCGCTTTTATCCGGTAGAGGGAACACAAACATGGAAAGGAGGACAATCAACATTAGTTTTAATTGTGGTTTTAAATTTTTTTATGCTGTTGGTGATGATGGAAGTTTTTGTTTTGGATTTATATGCTGCTTGTTCGATTTTGCCTGTTTGAAGTTTATGTTTTTAGTTTTAATTTTTTATGAAAGTAACTCATGTTGCTTACCCGGCGGTGGTTATTTTTATGTGCATTGTACGGGGTTTTAGTGTTTGAAGCCCTAGCCACATAGGTTGGCCAAGTAGCTGTGCGTCCCTCTTTGCCCTTTTCGGAGCTGCCATTACTACTATGGTTTTTGCTTCTTAATCTTTGTCATAAACTACATTATGAAATTAATACGCACATTTAACTGGTGAATTTACATTTTGTTCTGGTAATGCAGATTAAACAGTAAGGAGTTCCATAAGCGCACCTCAGTGGGTTTTTCGAACGTCTCGAGCTGATTTCAAGGCTTTCCGACCACTTAGTGCGAATATAACATAGAACACAACATTTATTCCGTATTAGAAAAAGCCTTAAATCAGCTTCAATACAACTCCTTTCTTTACTTTGCTTACATAACAAATTAACCAATTTTGTTTCGTTTGGATAACCTTTTGAAACATTTGGTGTCCGCATAGAACAATTTTTCAAATTTTGGTTTCTTTTATTTTTTTGCCTGCTCCGTCTACGCTTACAATTTGGTTTTCTTATTGTTTTCAGCATGCGATGCTCTTTGTTTTCTGCAGCTTCAATGTACAGCCTTTCAAACCATTTACTTCAGGTACGTAATATGACCCTTAGTGAAAACTTTGAGTTTTAATGATAACGACAAAATAAAAGATCAAGTGAATAGTACCAAGATTGACTTTTTAATGTAAAAATATAATTTTTCTTTAAAGTGAACAGCACCGCGAGCTTTTTGTTAAAACTCCTTCTATTCAAACAAGTTTTTATTTTCCATGTACTGCAAAAATTATCTTTGTTGTTCTTTTATACAATTTTTTCTATTTGTTATTGCATGATCCAATGAGTTTCTTCCTAGATAACATTGTAAAACAAAAAGATCACCTTAGGAGATGATTTGTTGTACGTGTATTAGTTTATAGAACATATACATGAAAACATTGGTCAAGTTGAAGCCCTTGTTACAATTTATAACAATTTGTCCTTATTATCAAGTGATTGGGTAAATAGACTTTGAAAGAAAATTTGGGCTTAAACTTTGGGTTTGGGTGTGATGATGATGATTATGATGATATATATATATATATATATCAAAAGATGGCCGTCTTGGGCATTGAGGTTCGGACTTTAATAATTAAATTCAATAATTAATTTTTTAATTTATCAAATTAATTTCGGGTTTAATTAATCTTTATATTCTCAAAACACTCATCCTTTTGGATGAAGACTAAAAACGTTGAGAAACGCTGAGAAAAGTCACCTCCCAAACTTCTTAGTTCACATTCTGTCAATATATTTAGTTGCAATTTATTGTTTATTAGCATATAATTTATGTACACACACACATAAACTAGAAAGTGACCCGTGCGTTGCTGCGGGAAATGTGACATGCTCATTGCTATGGGATTGAAAATTTTATGACATTATCTGTATTCAATGATTGTGGACCTAATAATTATGGACTCAGCACCGAACACCTAAATGTCATCAAACCAAAGTAAACTCTCATTTAACTAAGTTCTTAACACTTCAGTTAAATGTGAAGTTAAAAAAAGTAGTTCAATTTGACTAAAAATTATAGAGGATGGGAAAAAAAATTGTATAACATGAATATGCACGCACATAGTATGGAAAAAAATTGTACAAACCCAAATCAACTATGTTACAAAACAACTACATGTGCAAACAACGCAAATGACTAAATTAGACTAAAGCCAACTAACTTCGAATTTAACCAAATCAGAAAAGCAATCACAGTCGAACTAACCTCTTCTTCCCATATGAAGTAGAAGATGTCCCCTGTGAACAGGATGCTTTTCACCCTCTACGCACAAAAAGAACACACTGAAAATGCTTAACAACATTACAAAAACTATACATACAGAATTATATATGTATTTGGTTTTTGGACACAAAGTATAGTGATTTACTAACAGATTCAAGCTTAAATTTAACAAAATTATGGATTGAAATCAAATTATACGATAGTTGTTAAAAAAAGCTTTTGACTAAATTTTACAAATAGAATGAAAACCTCGCTTTCTATCAACTAATCAATCGTCTGAACCGTGAAAAAAAATTGATTTGAAAGCATCCTTTACCAATTTAATGACGCATAAAATCATTAATTCCGAAATAACCCAACTTTCAAAAACCCTAACACGATATCACATTACAAAAAACCTCAAAATGCCCAATAACTGTTCCGGATGGCACACACCAATTTTTATCATGAGAAAAAAGCAACCCCAAACCCAGATTAAACATTTCATAAATCCTATTTACCGAAGAGAAATTTTTTTTGAAAGGGAAGCTCACCAGTGCTATCATAGGGCCTGAGCAGTGAGAGGTTCCAAAACTGCAAACAAAAGCCCCCAAAAGCAATAAGAGTCTCTTGAAACTAAAAACAAAACAAAAGTAAACACCCGAATACACAATCGGAGGCTATAAATCAAACCCCAAAATCACAAATAGAAAATCTGAACAGAAAAACCATTTGTAAATCCAAACCACAAAAAAGAAATTGAAACAAAGAAAACTGCCAGATGATATCAATACTGTTGTAATAACACCAGAAAATACTAACAAAGATATTAATATTTTAATTTCATACCACTTGATATCATGACTCAACTTTCTTTTTGTATTTTAACAATAGCCCTCTGCAACTTGTATAAACTGGTTTAGTGAGAATGTGCAGTGCAAAATATGCTCTCATCTATTTCAAGAAATCACAAAGTTTTAGCTTTACATTTAATGTGAAAAACCTAAAATTAACCAAAGAAACCCCAACATGGCTACACATGAAGCATATATAAACTAAGGCTATATCATTTTTCACTGAACAAAAAAGAAAGAAAAACATACAACAGAGACAAATATTATAAATCACATACAGTACTAACAAACATTTCGACTTTTTTTATTAGTTTTGAAACACACTATTTATAAAGATTGATAAAGCCCTATGAAAAATAAAGATTGACATTTTTTTTCCAAACCACGGTTGGTTTGAAACCCCGCATCTAAACAGATTGTGACTTTTTGTTAACGGAGGCATACCACATGCTTTCACAATAGCTGCCGAAGGTACGTTATCTTCAACCCTCAGATCTCTTCTGAATTAAACCGCACTGCAAGCACCAGCTAACATCTCCAAAATTATATTTTTTTTCACCAACCAGCAAAACCCTGCACGAATTTTTTTCTATCTTAAACATATGTTATATGTTAGAAAATCGTAAAACTCACCTAACTCAATACTTAGTTTGAGTAAATCCAAAATCTCACTTGCATACAAAGTACAACCATCCAAAAACACAAAAGCTTCTTCTGACCAAACACACACACACACACACACAAAATAAGGACACGAATGTCAGGCATGGCGATTAAAGTAAGTTCTTTTACCAAATAACCGAAGGCAAAAAGCATGTTAACGTTGCATCGTCACAGGTACACCGTTAGCAACGTTTCTTTCCTGATCCAAACATAAACATGAATCAATTAAAAGCGTTATAAAATGAAGTAACACTTTTAATCTTAAAACTAAAAACCAAATGGTTATCAAACTGCCCCTAAAGGAATACATATTTTGGATTTAATAACTGGAGTTTTTCAAAACCTTCAACTAAGTGAAACTAATATACAAATAAAGTGCATACATAGGGACCAGAGATTACTGAAAACTACATGCTTAACAATCTTTTAAGCACCACAGTAATTTAACAGTGTTAGAAGAAAAATATTATTGGAATTATTGAATGAACACATAACCGAACCCATTTTAGTTTTACCTTTGCCCAAATAATTACCAGATTTCCAAGTAATAAATCAAATATATAACTATTACTATAATGCACTACCATTTCAAATTACCATGTCAAGAGAAGGAAAAGGAACATTGTGAGGTGAAAAATATAACTAAGAGCAGAGTAAAATTAACCATTTTGATGTTCCTGTTAATTATGTCTAAAAGAAGGTCCATGTCCTGCGCATTCTTTCTAATAATTGACACAAAAGTAATAAATATAGAGCCATTTCATGTAATTCCAAGAGGAACAACCATATACCTGAGTTTTTTTTTCAAATGATTGGCCACCCTCTTCGCAAATTATCTGAACATAAAATTCTCATGCGCTCGTTTGCTCCATGTTCTGCCTTGCTCCCATGCGGATCCTTCTCTTTCTCCTAGTTGGAGACTCTAATTCAAGTAAAATCAAACATTCAAACATGAATATGCATGTGCTGATTTTAAATGGTATTAGATTTGTTAGATATATAATTGAATCACCAAATCCAATTTTCAATCACTTAAAATTATACAATGCAGTTCCTAAAACAAAAAATAATTAAAAAATCATTTGCAGAAAGAAAATTAGAAAATTCGAACTTGATAACAGTCTACCGTAAGAAACCCCATGACCGAGTAACAGAAACAACATTGAGACATAATTTGGTGAATATATATGGTGCACAAATTTAACAACCCTAGTACTGTTAACAAAGCTTCAACCAATACAACAGAAATCAAATCAATACTTGCCTGAAATCCAAACAAAACAAAATTTGTAATTTTAGTTTCCAACACATTTAACCTTCACAGCACACAAAAAATCAAAACTCTCATCAATAGAAAACCAAAAGGAAAACTTGAAATTATATACCTGACTTGCTTCAAGGCGCCTGACGACTTGTACCTTCATTTACTCTGTGGGCTAGGGTGAATACTACCAGAATCCTTGGATAGTGTTCCATTTGCTAACCAAAAAGAAGCCACTGATGCGGATAAAAAAACGACAGGGTGGATGGTTCCCAGGAGAGATTTGGCAAGTTGCGCAGAGATGGAGATGGAAAAGGAGAAGACAGCACGTCCCAAATTGAAAAAGAATATGTGAGAGAGCGAGAGATGAACATGATTCGCTTGCGGAGGCTAGGGTTCCGGGTTTTAGACAGAGCTCGAGAAATCTGTGGAAGCAGATGGAAGAGCTCTGCTTTTCCACCTTTCTTGCTTTCCCACACGCGTCTACCAAAATGGGCCACAAACAAGAGAGGGACACACACGTAATTTCGCTCTGGAAAACCTAAGACTTAGACATCCATCATCTCCTTGACACCTAACGTCGCCTTGCAGAGACTCCGGATTCTCAAACCACTCTTCTTCCTCATTTTTTTGTCAAAACCGCAGATCTCACACCCAATTCTTCTTTTTTCTCCATTGAAGTTTCTCGCCTTCATCTAGCACACGCCCATTCCTTCCTTCAACCTTTCCATCGATTCTAACCCAAATCTTTTCCAACCTCTTTTCACCAAAGATATCACACCCCATCCACCATTATTTATTTATTATTTTAGTACTAAATTAAATAGGGGTTTAAGAGTCTTATTTTAAAAGGATAAATATGTTACTAACATTTTTATTAAATGGTAGGTGGGGAAATAAGACACAGGGATAGGAATATTACCACTCAAAATCGAGGGTATTCCCGTCTTTCACTGTTCATTAACAATGCAAAACAATGACTACCGAACTGAGTTTTAGTATATAAATAATTTGTTATTAATTATTGATAAATTTCCAACCATATCTTTTAATGGACCCAAATATTTAGGTTGGAAATCAGGAGTTGGTCTAATATCCAGTCATTGTAATGCTATCTGCTAGTGATATAACCATACAGAAAAACTTCTTAGAAAGCTTGACGCAGTCACACAGATAAAAGACATGGTACTAAATCACAAAATAACACTTAGAAACAAAATATATGGCATTACATATTCAGATGAATGATGTCAATGTGATGTAAGTTTATACGTTTGTCGTCATCACATATGTGAAGAATAAGGATACTATATTGAAAAATTATAAAGTCAAAGAACATGTATGATTTTGACAGTCATATATCTTTATGAACGTCATTTTGCTTCTCCCTAATTAAACACATTTTAAACGCTTATTTTCTTGTTTCCGTGTACTTGTTCAGTTTACGAAATAAATAATGCTAAGGACATCAAATTTTTTAAACTAAATGATGTGTCATTAATAAGAAACAAACATGTTAATCAATAATTAATTAATAATCTAATCATCTGCAACCACATCATTTAATTTACGAATTTAGTTTAAAAATTTTGATCTTCCTAGCATTACTCTTAGGAAATATATCAATAACAGAAAAATCTGAGAAACAAAACTAACGAAGAAACAAGAAGGCACAAGCGAATTGCCTCTTTGCCTTGTTATGAAATCAAGCAAAGGGCGGTTGTGTCTGCTTTGGGCACCCACTTCTTGAAGCAGTCTTCTTCTCGCTATGCATGGCCGCCTGCACTTACAATATTTCTCAATTATTTGTGCTTTTTTTTTTTTCCTGTCTTTCCTTTGTTTTTATTTTTGATATGGTGTCCTATGGAGCCACAAGCACTGTATAGATGCTTATCTTTGTATGGTTAGCATATTTTGGTTTTGGTTGGTTCTCACTCCCCTAAGTGGTACGTACTTAGGCAAAAATTCTGATGCTACACCGAGAAAGAGTCATATCCAAGAGAAAGAGTTGGATTTGGAAGGGCATTTGTATTGAATCAATGTCCCGGGGCACTCCCAACATTTTAATATGAATGGTGTACATCTAGGCCCTTTCACATTGGAAACTTATGAAATGTTTTAAGGACTCATTATAGCATCTTCGAGTGAGGTAGTATTTGGATAGAAAAGCTAAATTTGTTATGCACCTTTGGAAAAACGCATCTTCAACGAAGATAACAAACTAAATAATTCGCAACTGACCTTGTAAATTTACAAGTTTAGTTGTTATTACTTCAAGTTTGCTAACTCCTTTGAATATGCTCAACTTCATTTGTCAATTAGTCAACAAAATGATCCCGAAGAACATAAAATAGGGCTGCAATTCAATGGCGCAAAATGCACACTGCGACCGTACGTAACAACATATAACTTCTACAACAGAATATAGTAACAAGAATGTAGGGTAGCATAAAGAAAGAGAGGAGAACGTAGGGTCTTGATAAAAAAGTTCGCTTGACAATGCTTATGTAGGAAACGATTTTCACGTGCATTCAACAACACTTTCGTAAGTAGCATTAAAATTTATTTATTTATTTATTTATTTTTAATTCAAACTCCAAATGCTTCTAGACTGGAGCAACTCTCGTAAGTGTCCTTCCAAAATCCTAACGTGACATGGATGATCCGCCAAATCCATTGCTGACTTCACCACTTTCGTATTGCAGGATTTTATTTCTCTACACTCTTACTTAGAATCTAAAAGAAATTTTAAAAGTCTATGCCGTACATTTAAATGCTTACGTTTGTCTCAACGATTATTTTTAATTGATTTTGATAAGTTGAATGCAATCTAATACTAATTTGCACACTACAGATAGTCAATGCCATTTTCTTAAAAATACGCAAGGAGAAGTAACACAATAAACATTTTTTTTAACAAGCTGAAATTACAGCGATTTTCTTCTAGGGATCTTTATAAACATATATAGTCATGTTCAATCCAGTTCAAGCATTCATTGTCTTGTTGTCTGTCCAAAAGATATGTGTAAATGATATTTGTGAAAATTTGCTCTTGAGGTAAATGATGTCTTCAATAGTAGACTTAATTTTCCAAACAAGCTATGCCTTACCATTGAAAAGGACTGTTGTTGGTCTCAAAATCCGTCTTGGCCACGAATTGAGGATTTCAATATCTCTTGGCCTCTTCTAGTTCGGGTTGTGGGCGTGCCAACTTGCAGCTTGGGGGCCGATTGAGTAAATGTGATTTGGGTTTTGTCTAACTTTTTCAAAATTACTGTGATCGAAAAAGGAACGTGTCTCGATCGTAGGCTCTCTATCTTTTGTGTTATGTGCAAGGACTTGAAAGGCGTAATTAATCTTCGACTATGGGTCTTGTGACGGGATGGGTGAATTCATATGTTCTTGTGATGGGCAAGTGATGTGGTTTTTACCACCTACAAAAATGGGTTAAAAACATCTAAAAATTACTTGAAAGAAAAAATAGTTATTGTAATATAAAAAGGCTCAAGCAAGGTCGTTCTCAACAAAGATTAACATGAATAATTTGTATTTAAAACCAACTTTGAATTAACTATTCAACACAAGAATTTAAAATTTTGAAATTGCGAATTTTAAGTAATAAAAATAGAAATTAAAACAATTGAAATTGATTTTAGTGGAAATCGGCAGCCAGAATAAAAGCAAGTAGTTTTGGAAAAATCAAATATAAAAGTCACTAGGGTTTAGACGTTACTATTAACAATCCTATGTAGTTCTACCGATTACTTTTGAATTACCATATACTTGCTTTGAAGGTTAGGTTTTCCTAATGCATATTCTACTCGTGATATTCAAACCAGCTAGAACATACATCTAATAACATGCAATGCGTCTGTGATATTCAGAGCAAATATGAACAAGCAAGACTTATTAAGCTTTGTGAAAACGTTTAGAAAACCATGCAACCCTTAAGAGCGTGCTATTCACCTTAAAATTACAATTGTCAATCACAAGAAGCCTTTCTCAGTTTCAAGGTGATATTCCAACATAAATTGCATCAAATTAATTGTCTAAATATCCTAATGGTAGCTACACATTAAGACATGTGGATAGTTTAAACACGGTGATTAATAATTCAAAGTAAGCATGCATAATTTCATAAGTACATCGAAAAGGAACTACATATTCATGCTACGGCTTGTGGCCTCACCCTTGTTGGAAAATATAATAATAATATTATTATATTTAATTTATTAATTGAATGGAAATTAGAAGTGGAGCCTTTTGGTAGAAAGATATGTCTATTTAAATGAAGTGTTGCAACTTTTGACTCTTCATGAATAGTCACATGCTTTCTAAAGAGGTATCACAAATTCTATAAATAGGGAAGCCCCCTATAAGCATTAAAAGAACTTTTCATTGTTTACATAATCATACATAGAGTGTACTAAATATTAGAGAGTCTCATTGAGTCCATATGAGAGAGTTTTCAACACAATCGTGGTTCATGGAGCCTTGTGATTTGGAGTGCTACTATTACAAGGACGTGGTCGTTGTATCTTGGGAGACATGTGCCAATCAACCATGAGCACCGTAGTGGGGTGTGTTGTCTTAAGGACAAAGTGTCCAACACTTGCCTTGACCGTATTTTCTAGGTTTTTCTAATCCATTATATCATGTTCATTTAACATTGGTTACTCATGTGCATGCATTATTGTGATATATAATTGCATGAATTATTTCTTTATTTTCTATGTGATTTATTATAGAAATTAGGCCCTAATTATTCCGACAATCTTAAGACAAGTTCAAGGTTTGATTGCTATGTTTGTTTGAGAACAATATTCTATCGTGTATCTGCGTGAATTTTCTTCTTTTTCATGGTAGAATGTTTTGGTTTCTAGTTCTAAATAAAGCAGTACATATGTTAACTGTTTCAAAATGTAATGCAAATTAATTTGATTCAAAAGATGCCAACTTGTAACCTTTCATCATTAGTTAATTGAACTGAATAATCGTTGCATGTTTATTGGTTTACTTTTTATACGTGTTTTAAGTTTGGACTGATAATTTATTTTAGTGTAATGCCTGTTGAAAAACACTCTAATTGGAATATATGTCCTGCATATATGTTGAGATACGCATATGATGACGCGTGCGTGGTAAATTTTTAGTGTGAAGTGTTCGATTGTATATTATAAAATCTGGGAAATTATTCACGTGGGTTCCATATTGGTGATTTGCATATATATCTTTATAACTGATATATTTATAGAAGACTCGTGCTGTGTGTATACACTTATTTGTTTTAATTTTAAACTTATATTTTGTGGATTTGTTAACTAACTCATGCATTAAGATTTGGGCCCTAGCTGATAGTAAGCGATATACTGTTTCATGTAAGATGATCACAGTGATCACCATTTGGTGGTTGATAGTTATCACAAGGTGATGACTTGGCGAATATTACAGGCATATGCAACTCTTGGTAAAAATGTTAAGAGTGTGCGAATGGCATAGTTTCACTATTAATTTCCCACAAGGAAAGAAGCAGAGATTGCATCTTTATTATAGACACTGTCTCCCGCAAAGGGAAGTAAGGTAATGACAACTACTTCCAAGAAGGGAAGTACATGGGAGAATAACGTTTTGACTTTGAGGTGTGACAACTGAAATGGTGTTACCATCGATCAAAGGAGATCCTAGCCATGCGAACTCAAGAAGTTTATAGGTTAAAGGCAAAGTGCCAAGACATGTTTCCCCGAAAAGGCTATAGTGAAAATTTAGGCCATAACAAGTGAAGATAGATAAAAACAAAATATCTTCATTGATTCCTACTTCTTAAGTATGATGAATGAGTAATTGACGGCATTAAAAAGCAACCACAATGTAAGGGAATTGTGGGGGTGGCTTAGCTATTTTTGAAAAATGATATATACATAAGAATACTAGAAAAGTAAATTGCTTCTAGAAAGAGATAATAAATATGTGGTGGATTAGTTCACTAGACGGTTTTAAATTATCACTTAAACTCTTGCAATTTTTTAAGGTATATTGAAAGGTTGGAGATCTTCCAACAAATATCTTAAATATGGGGGATGTACCCGAGTATTAGCAAATTACTTTTTGAGTCCTAACATATGTTTTGAAGGACTTAACGTTGGAAAAAAACTACTCTCGAATGAAATATAATTTCATAAAAGGAAGTGTGCACCATAAGTGATAGTCATCAACCTAGTGGATCCAATTAATTAAAGGTTTGACTAGAGAGTAAGTTGTATCATCGAGGGGAATGGGTTAAAAGCCTACGTCGAATCACCATAATGGCAACCCAACCTATCTGACTAGAGATCCCAAGATCTAGGTTCAAAGGGACAATCGAATTGTGGATGATTTAATGGGAGCACTGCGGAGATTACCTCCTACCCATGTCCTGTGATGAAACAGTGCTATCTGCAGCGTATTGAGGATACGCTTTGCTTTTAATGATTCCTATACTTGGACATAACAAGTGGGGTACTGCAAGATACTCTTAATGGGAAGTCATCTATCTTGAGCGAGGAATGAGGCCTTTCCTATGAGAATTTTTTTAAGGGCTTAGTTCTCTGAAAGCACTCATGAGAAACTAAGAATTGTTCAGGGCCAAAATGAATACAACCGAGCAACCACGGGGTGTTTGGAAGGGTATTGTGTGATTACTATTGTCTTGATTTACACAAACAGTTGAGCAGTTCAAGACATCGCGTTCATTGATTAGCCAAGTAAATCCGATTGTAATTCACTACGGAAGTTTCAAAGCCAAAAGCCACCTATCCCGATGCGATACTTTTCCTACTGAATTCTCTTTCTAGTGTTTGCATTGTCATTTGCATAGTGTTGAGTCAATTTCCATTCATGTGGGCGATTGTTGAAAAATTTAATAATAATATTATTATATTAAATTTATTAATTGAATGGAAATTTGAAGTGGAGCCTTTTGGTAGAAAGGTATGTCTACTTAAATGAAGTGTTGCAACTTTTAACTCTTCATGAATAGTCACATGTTTTCTAAAGAGGTATCACAAATTCTATACATAGGGAAGCCCCCTATAAACATTAAAAGAAGTTTTCATTGTTTACATAATCATACATAGAGTGTACTAAATATTAGAGAGTCTCATTGAGTCCATGTGAGAGAGTTTTCAACACAATCCTGGTTCATGGAGTCTTGTGATTTGAAGTGCTACTATTACAAGGACGTGTTCATTGTATCTTGGGAGACATGCACCGATCAACCACGATCACCGTAGTGGGACGTAAACTTGTCTTAAGGACAAAGTGTCTAACATTTGCATCGACCGTATTTTCTAGGTTTTTCTAATTATCATGTTCGTTTAACATTGGTTATTCATGTGCATGCATTATTGTGATATATAATTTAGACCTTAATTATTCCAACAACCCTAGCAAAAGAAAATTAGTTATCCATAATCATAATTGAAAATCAAAATATTATTAAGAAGAAAAGATAGGAAACACTGTTGTGGTAAAGTCGAAAATCACCAAAAGTTCCTCAGTTGAATTCTCTAAGACAAAAACGTTCTCCGCTTTAAGGGCTCCAAAATCAACATGTAAATAGACCTAGAAATCTGAGGTCTACGTAAAATAAGTCTCCCAACAAACCTGGAATCCCTATTGAAATAATTAACTAGGAAACACAATCATATTCTAACTTGGACAATCTCGACTCGAACATGCCCTCACTCGACTTGAACAAGGGATGACAGATCTATGTCCAAATATTGCCCCTAGTCTCATGAGCCTCAGCCTGGACGTCGAGTGACTGTGAGAATAAAAATATCTCATGTTTGGATGTTGGATCGAACACCGCTCCGCCAAAGGGTGAGTTCATCCGAGCGCATGAATATATGATCAAACACCTGTGAATCTCCTTCTACCTGAGCACAATTGATACGCAGTCCGACTGGGCGAGTCGTAATGCTCAGAGAAGCCGTTGTTATAAACTTGCGGCTTCTACTTACAAAACTAAAGAATAACGTAAGAGAACATCTTTGTAGCTATAGTCTGACCGTACATATTCTTTCCAAAACTTATCTTTAATGCCTTTTAGCGGTGGAACATGATGCAGTGATTCCCAAATGGCACCTAAGCCGTATAGCTCATCATGACCCCACTCAAACTAGTGTGCTAAATGTTTCATACGTGTGACAATCAGGTACCGTATAGGCTTTACAAACTATAAGGCTTATTTTTAGTTACGTCTGTGAAACTTTATTTTAAGTTTATTTGTCTAATGTAACTCAACAATTACAATTTTATTTTCTGAAATTCAAAATTCGTTTCACTTTGATTCGTGGACTAAACTTATAGGCCACCTCCTTAAACATATGAGAGACCCAACATCCAATAAGATTATGTCCAATAAAGTTGATTATAAATCTTCATTATGCATTAACATTCAAGAGGATATTTTGTTTAAAAGAAATTGAAGGGATGAAAAAAAAAATTGATTAGCTTGCCGCACAAATCTAAGGTAATGTGGAGTGAATTTTGAGTTTTATAAAGACGACTTTTAAGTTTCTAGGAGCAAAATGGAATCAAAATTGAGTTTTAGAGGCAAAGTGAAACGAACTTTGAGTTTCAAAAAGTAAAATAGTGACTTTTAAATTACAGGAAGTAATTTGAGATTAAAATCAAGTTCTAGTTAAAAATAAGCCAAACTATAATTTTGTTCTTCATGGGTTAAATTTACAGAGCTAGATTTGCCCCTTGCCCTTTTGCCTATTTGCCCTTTGCGAATCAAACATCCACAAACAAAGCCAAAAGTAGGAGAAGACCAAAAAGGGATTCTGGACTCCATAGCCATCACACCTTGACCATCCGGATACATTGGATTCATGGGTATATACAGTACGTATGGTCACGTTGGAACAATTTCTCAGCCATATTTTTGACACGTGGACAAATTGGGCCCCGCATGAGTTTTTAGCACCACATCCTAAATGTTCTTTTTAACTCGTATAAATGCTGATTCCACAATCCTTAGTCTGGCCATGCAACCTACACATATATGAACTCCAAAGGGAAGGACATGGAAGAGAAGGAAGCCAGAGAAGTTCGATACCGGGGTGTGCGGAGGCGGCCATGGGGCAAATATGCAGCGGAGATTCGTGACACAAATAGGCACAGCGCGCGTGTTTGGCTTGGGACTTTTAACACAGCTGAAGAGGCAGCTAGAGCATATGACAGAGCAGCTTATGCCATGAGGGGTGGCTTAGCCATTTTGAACTTTCCTAATGAGTACCCTTCGGCAAGTGGCGGTTCTTCATCGGCATCGGCTAATTTTTTATCTTCTTCGTCTGCAATGCCTGGGACTATGCAGGGGCGAGCTGGTGGTGAGCAAAATGAAGTTCTTGTGTTGGAGTATTTGGATGATAAGTTGCTAGAGGAACTGCTTGATTGTGATAACCAAAAGAATAACCAAGAATAAGGAGATTGATTATTATCTCTATCTTAATAAGCAGTTACCCACATCAACGTCAATATGATGCTTCTTATCTTTTTGGTTGATATAAGTAGATTCTGATCATCAACTTTTGCATGCATTTACTTGTCAATGAATAATAAAATAAGTCGGTAAGCTTTTCAAGATATGGTGATTTTCTACGTACCAAAGTATATCATCTACTTACGGCTAGGGTTGTTTGTCCTCCTCGCTGTATCGATTCTCTTCTATAAATAAATTTGCCTGTTTCTGTCCATGATATTGCACGATACACATTTATATAACTGACATGACTCATTAGCAAGAGTTCATTTGAAAATAATTCTGTAGAAAGTGGTACATACAAATGTAAGTGAACAACCTAATCTGCTCCTTAATTTGCTCATTAATCGCAGACCCAAGCTAAGCAAGACATGGAAAAACACGCTAATATATTTGTAGGTAAACAAGCTATTCTGCTCCTTTCCAACGTGTGATTAATTAGATTTTTTATTCTGGACATTTGATGTATGCGTATTAAGGTATTTGTAGGTACGGAATTCAGATATTCATCATGTTGGGGTTACACTAATATATGCATGTTATAACGTTATCAGCACGGATGAATGTACTTTCATTTTGTATTATGTATAATTCATAAAACTCTACTTAACTCGAAAATCAACTTTGATCTAAAAAGCATATCATATGCGGATTACAATTTAGTTCCCTTAAAACAATTAATATGAAAGGTGTCTACCTTTAATCTCCTAATAATATGGGACTTGGAAACAACACATTTCTTTTCATCCCTGTAATCACTTAATAATAATATGCAGGGTGTAACTTAAGTCTCTTACCATTCAAAGTAGTCAAGGGAACTCTACTGGTGAAAAGTGTACAGTGGAAAGAGCTTCGCCCCAATACGTGAGTGGTGCATGACTTTCCAATACAGAAGCCCGAACTATCTCAAGGGGATGACGGTTTTTTTTGAAATGTGTAGGGACAAGTGGTTTGATGAACAATTCCACAATTAGCTGTTAAATATTTCTTCCAATTCGGCACCCATGTATTTGCCCCCATTATCACTTTGGAGAACTTTAACTTGTGCATTGTACTAATTCATGGCCATCTTGTGGAATTTGTAAAACAACTCATACACTTCAACTTTGGTTTTCACAAGACAAACCCAAGTCATATGGGTACAGTCATCAATAAATGTGACAAACCTTCCCAAAATGGTACATTTAGAAGAACCCCAAACATCTGAATGAATAATCATGAATGAAACATAACTTTTATTCAAACTTGATGGATAAGTACGGTGGCTTACTTCAAATATCCAAATGAAACATGCCCCAGACAATGATGCCATACCCAAATCTTTGATTGTCTCTTCTTCCTCTCAAATTCATCTACGGACAGAGCTTGAGTCAACCATCTTTAAGTGTTCAACACCAGTCCAGGTAATACAACTACCCACACCTAACTGCTTGCCCAATCGTCTTGTGAGTCCGAATATCCTTAAACACAACCAAAAATCACAATACAACATAAGGCAAGGATTATATGAGCAATAGAGAGCAAATTGTGATTGAGAGATGGGACTACGAGGACATAGTCCAAGTTGCAAACTGAGGGTATCAACGAGAGTAATGGAACCCTTGTCAGTAGGCAGTAACAGGATTGGGAGTCCCATTTGCAATTGACACATTGGTTTTAGTAGATGGTTCTAATAGGTGAAACTGTCTATAATCACATGTCATATGACCTATGGCTCCATAATCAATTATCCAACTACTACTCGAAACAAATGCAGAATCGTTAGAAACATTCCCGACATTACATGTTGTAGCAGCTAAAACAGATGCTTGATTGTTCTCGGGATTCTTCAGCAACAACAGTTTATTTATGATTGGAATTTTGTTTTTGTGGATCCCTACTATGATCCCACCACTCTGGAAAGCCCACAATTTCTTAACAGCGAGCCTTCGAGTGACCAGGTTGACCATACTGCTCATAAACCTCATTAGAAGGAGGATGATTGGCCTTACTTGTTCTCGAAGAACTGGTACGATTGGTAAGACTAGACCGATCATGTTGACTTTAGTGAGGCCGATCTTGGGAAGACCGGTTACGGGAAACCAGTGCAACGAAATCATTGAATTTGGTGTTTTTATTCATGATAGTTCGTCTTAGAGCATCATCACATGCATATGCATCCTCCAAATCATGGACAGTCTTTGGGTAGGATTTTTCCAAGAATCTGTTCAATTCGGAATCCAAACCTCTGAGGACAATATGGATTCTCTAACGCTCAATCAATTTTCGATACAATTTGACATCTTCATTCTTCATAGCCACCTTGTCGCAATGATCCAATTCTTGAAAGATCTCTGTCAACTCCCCATAATAAGAGCCAAGAGACTGTCCATTCTGTATAGTGGAGAAAACCTTTTAATTCTAATACTTTAACGTCATCCATTCCATCATAGAATTCTTTCTCAAGTCCACTCCAAATTTCACGAGCAGTTTTTAATGAGAGAAAACGTTGTTGGTGTGTAACCCTTTAGCCGAGACTTGGAGGCAAAGAAACAATTCAAACCTTTAGTTTAATATTTGTTTCAAGTTTAAATTAGAGTCATTGGATCATAGTCCATGTGGCTGTTCTCACTTGTATCTAGCTTAAGTCATAGATTATAACAAGTGGCATCATCTCATATGGTGATAGCAATTAAGGGCTGAGATTTAGTTTTAGTTTGATAAGTGAAGAATCTCCCTTCCTCTTCCATGTCTAACGGTAACAACCTCACATGTTTGTTGTGAGGGAATATCGAAATCAATTCCATCATCATTCTTTAAAAATTCTCTTTGCCATTTTTCTAGTTTTCCTCTCAGACCTTCATCAAGCTTTTATAGAAGCATATTGGATATTCCCATACTCTAACATGGCCTTAAAGCCAGGTTCCATTGTCTAAACTAGGCGTGAAATCTGTGAGTGTGATTGAGCTGCATTTTAAGCTCAAAATCAAATCTAAAAATTATGCGATTTCTTGAATCCAAGGTCTAACATGGCTGGATCTAGTATCGCTGAGCTTAGAGCTCCAGTTTTTAATGGAGAAAACTACGAGTTTTGGAGAATTCATATGACGACTATACTGAAATCGTATGGTCTATGAGAGCTGGTTGAAAATAGGTTTGAACCTCCATATTCGAAGGATACGAAGGCTGTGCTCGATGAAACAAAGAAGGAAACGATGAAGTTGGTGTCATTCAGTGAGACCTTAATGAGAGATGTTCGCGCATTTGGAATGATCCAATGAGCTGTCTCGGATCAAATCTTCCCCAAAATTGTGAATGAAGAAACATCCAAAGGAGCTTGGGATGTCTTGAAGAGCGAATTCAGATGGGACAAACAAGTAAAAAGTGTAAAATTGCAAGGTTTACGTAGAGATTTTGAGTCTATTCATATGAATGAAAATGTACAGAGAAATCTGTCTTCCAAGGTGAAAATGGGCACATGAGAAATTGTAAAAGTTGAAGGAAAATGAACCTTGGTCATTGAAACCAAGTTGGGAAGAAAACATATCCAAGAAGTTATGCTGGTACCTAAACTTGAAGAAAACCTTCTCAGTGTAGGTCAAATGATGGAACATGGTTATTACTTGGTGTTTGAAAGAGATGTTGTGAATGTGTTAGATGGATGGACACTGGACAATCTAGTGGTTAGAGTGCAAATGACCAATAATAGATGTTTTCCATTGAAAATGATGTCCGCAAATCAGCTTGCACTAAGAGCAAGTGTCACACATTGCTCTCAGACGTGGCATAAAAGATTGGGACACCTGAATGAGAAATGTCTCAAATTGCTTGAAGAACATGAGATGGTGCATGGATTGCCTCATTTGGAAATGTCAACTAGTGTATGTGAATGAATGATGATAGGAAAACAACACATGGACTCATTCTACTCTGAGTCAACTTGGAGAGCCAAGTATCCATTGGAATTGATCCATACATATATCTATGGTCTAATGTAGGTTGATTCTCACTTTGGAAACAAATACTTTATGTTATTCATAGATGACTGCACTATAATGGCATGGGTGTACTTTCTGAGATATAAGTTTGGTGCACTTGAGTGTTTTAAAAAGTTCAAGGCAATGACAGAATTACAATATGATTATAAGGTGAAATGTCTCAAAAGTGATAGAGGAGGAGAATTCATTTTTGCAGAATTTGATAAGTATTGCAGTGATCTAGGGATCCAGAGACAGTTGGCTATGACCTACACTTCCAAGCAAAATTGAGTGTCAGAGAGAAAGAAGCACATTCACAGGGTTTTGACCTAAGAAATGACCTAAGAAAAGAAGCACATTCACAGGGTTTTGACCTAAGAAATGAAGTGCAAGTGAAATGAAGTTTTGCCCATATGTGTTTTGGGTAGAAGCAGTGAACACTTCTGTTTACTTGCTTAACAGATGTCCTTCCAAAGCTTTGGGAAAAATAACTCCATTTGAGGCATATAATAGCAGAAAACCAAGGATAGCTCATTTGAAAATCTTTGGTTCACTTTGCTATGTGCACATCCCTTCTAATCTTAAACACAAGTTGGAAGAAAACAATCATAAATGCATCTTTGTAGGCTATGATGGTGGTGAAAAAGGCTACAGATTGTTTGATCCGATTTCAAGGAGATCATTCTGTCAAGAGATGTTATATTTGATGAGAATGCTTCTTGGGATTGGAATTGCACTACAAATAATGAAGTGAGATTTCCCTTCTATCAAGAGATGTTATATTTGATGAGAATGCTTCTTGGGATTGGAACTGCACTACAAACAATGAAGTGAGATTTCCAGTTCTCACTGAGCATCAGAATGCTACTAAGATATGTGATATTGGTAAGAGTTCTCATTCTAATAAATTCACCACTTTTCAAAGTGAAAGTATGACTGAAAGATCTCAAATATATGATGATACACCTAAAAAGTGGAGAAGTGTAAATGAAATCAATGCAATATTTAGATTATTGAAGTTGAAAGTTATGATGATGTAGCCAAGGATGACTCATGGAGGACTGTAATGGAAGCTAAGTTAGAAATGATAGAGAAGAA